TGGCACTTCCTTTCCTAATTTGGTAGGGCCATGATTCTATTTTCTCACATATAAAGAACACTTAAATCATCTTCATCAATTTTTTGATACAAAAAAAGAGAGTCTGTAATAAGGACTTACTCTTGATTGTGCACTTAATTTTATCTCAACTGCAGAAATTATTAAATTGTCTTAATCACCATTTCATTCATAATTGGTAATTTCACTGCTGTCTTTGTAGGAAGGATAAGCCTTTGATATCACATTGATATGAAGTTCAAGACATTATGGAGAGGAAAGAAAGATAAATAAGAATATGGAATTTGATGGAATTGCCCTTTTCTTCCAAAGAAAATAACTCTCAGCAGCATAAACAATTATGGCAATTTAATAATTCTCCAAGAAACATCTCACTGTAGAATTAGTACAGTACAGAACTGAATAAAACTGAGCTGATTCTTATTTCTGGTGAGACAGAAAGTTAATGAAACACTATACAAAGAAACCAACTTTCCCTTCTAGTCCAAACATACAATATATCTCATCTTATTTAAAATAATGCAAACATTATTTGGATAATAATGAAAATAATGCAAGGAAAAAAAAAACATTGAGGCCACTAGAAGGTTTCCTACTTTTGTTCAAAGTTAAATATTCTTCTACTTCTTCTCTTATTCGTATTATTGGTTTTGCAGTGAGAACTAGTTAACTAGTTAACAAAATTCTATTCTGCTTTGTTCGTATAAGCCGAGGTGGCGCAGCAGTTAGAGTGCAGTATTGCAGGCCACTTTAGCTGACTGTGTTCAGCAGGTCAGCGGTTCAAATCTCACCGGCTCAAGGTTGACTCAGCCTTCCATCCTTCCGGGGTAGGTAAAATGAGGACCCAGATTGTTGGGGGCAATGTAAATATATATATACATTGCTTACTGGTGTACACCGCTTAGAGAGTGCTTGCACTTAAAGCGGTATATAAGTCTCATAAATAAATAAAATAAATAAATAAATAAATAAAATAGTGTAGACACTTCCCTTATCTTATTTAGTTTTTCTTATTTTCCCAGCAACAACCACCAGTTTTCATGATAAATTATTGCCTTCTGTGATGTATCCTTTAGTTTTATCAATTGTTGCAGCAAAGGGAATTTTTGTAGTAGTGATCAAATTTAGCTTTTTGATTACAACAAAAGAGTTGGAGGTGACAATTGGGGCCCTCATATTATACACTCATACACTCATATTGCCATAATTTATATTGCCACTCATATTGCCATAATTTATATAGATCATGAAGTATATTGTGTTACTGGTAGAGAGAGATAGTCACAAAATCAAGGGATCTTCCAAAGGCCAATGTTGAACACAGATGCTTGCAGAAGGAAATCAATATAATAACAGTAATGCAACTCCTCCCCAGGATGAATGTTGAATGGTAGGAATTTTTCTTTTTCCTGCCAATAATCTACTGATTTTGCTGCCAAGCTGATTCTCTGACAGTGATGCTCCCTGAATTTGAACTTAGGAATGACACAAAACAGCTTTTTGATGTCTGTGGACCTATATAAGAAAGGGAGTCTTGAAGTTCTCTGTGGGAATGGTAGAAAAGTCATTGGTCATCCACCTTCCTTTCAGCATTTTGTTTTCTAAGCATGCCTGGGTTTTAACTTTCATTTTTTGAATGTATTGCCTTACTTTTTTAGTTGAAAGCTTATTTGAAAAGTTTGATGAAATGATAATGGCTGTGGAAACTATTCGGTTGCATGAAGTTCTAAATAAATCAGATTCACAAAATGAATGTGATTTGGAACCAGTTATTGTAATTCATTGGAAAGAAATTGGGACTGTATAGATTTAAAATTAACTGAGTTGATTGCATACACTTCTTTGAAGTTTAAGCCTATAGTCTTTTACATTATACTGAGTGGAGAAGAAAATTGGCTTTCCCTAGGTCTAGGAGGATCAAAGAAAATAGGGAAATGGATTTATCACACTTAATCAGGAACCAATTTTATCTGGACTTTGTTGGGAAGACTGACTTTGGAGATTGAACTTACTATATTTGATCAGACAACAATTGATAAGAATTGGCATTAAGAAACAAACATGGATATTTGATCCAGGATGAATTACTGTTAACTTTTGGGATGATATGGGATAGATAAGATGCTGTGGAATATTTTCTACAAGTTGATCACAATAATAGCTTGTTAACAGACATTTTTAAACTGTAATCTTGTCTTTATTATTATTATTATTGTTTTCTTCTTATCTATTTTGCCATTAATATAATATATGACAGGTTAGTAATTTGCAAATAGATTTAATAGTTTAAAAATATTTTATTTCTCAAATTAAATTAAATACTGTAGCAATGTATTAATCAGTATTCAATTAGGAAGGATAATATGTGTACAGGTGTTAGTTTTTTTTCCTTTTGTGATGAACTTTTCAGTGCACTTTTAATGTCTTGTTTGTTCTGTGTTTTTTTTAAAAAAAAATTGGGAGTTTTGTATTTTAACATTTTTTTGAATAAAATAAAATATTGTTCCAATATACATACATACATACATACATACATACATACATACATACATACATACATAGTGATGAAGGAAGATTTCTAAAATCTAGAAACTGTGATCCTTAATTATATAAATACCTATGACTAAATATGAAGCTTTTGAAAAATATTAGTTCTCTCTAGCTAATTCATTTTTCTTCCTGGTATTTCAGTTTATAAATTCATCTTCATGCAAACTTTTTAAAAAATCCACTTGTATCGGTTCACTTTTATTTATTCCTTTCTTTAATATAACTGTATGTAGAATTTCCTCTTTTACTTGTTTCCTCATGATCCACTGCCACCACATGCAGGAAAATAGAAGAAGTTTGTGGGAGAAAAAAAGGTCAATTAATCAGTTCCAACTTCTCGTGAAGAAAAAAAAAGACCTTGTGAAATTGGAATTGATTGACCTTTTTCCTCTCCCCACAAACTTCTTTTGTTTCCCTGCATGCAGCGGTGGTGGTTCGTGAAGGAGAAACAGGACAGGGCTAGAAGTCAGGTAAGCAAAGAAATGCAATTCCTGGGGGAAGCAAGGGCATCTTGGCAGTGGTGTGGCAAGCTCTCCAGCTCCATGGGGAAGGGGCAGCTGGCATGAGTGCTGATGGCAAGACTCCTACTCGCTTCAGCACCCTCCTTCCCCATGGCTTAGGCTCTCCATCTGCCACTGGGCTGCCGCCTCCCCTCTCACCTCTCAGGCTGGCCAGGAACCCTGGGGCAAAGGCTCCCCGCTCCAGCTGGAGGAGCATTGGCCTGGCTGCCTCTACCTCAGCACCCTTTCCGCCATCACCCTGGGGCTGCAGGGACTGGCTTGGCATGGGAAGGGCTCAATCCCCACCTACCTGCACCAGTACTTGGTCTGCTAGGCCTCACAGCAGCGGCACTAGGCATGATGTGCGAGGTGGCAAACAGTGGTGGCTAGTGGCAAATGGCATGGCTGGTGGCAGATGACCATGGCTGGTGACAAACGGTCAGATTCCCCCTCCTCCATTGGCTTTGCCTCAATGCAGAAGCACTGACAACTCCCCCTCTTACCTCATGTCTATGGTAAAACCAGATGGAATTGGTGGCTGTCTGTCTGCGTAGGATCTTAGGTAGGGCTTACTTTTGGAGGAGGACTTATATTAGGCCCACTCCTCGAAAATCAGTGGGGCTTACTTTTGGGAGAGGGCTTACTTTTGGAGAAACATGGTAGCTGGTGAAGTCCTTTTCATTCTTTTAATGCTTGGTCTATATTCGCTTTATATTATTGATAACTTTAAACAAGACTTTATTAATTGTGCTTCTTGCTTAGCGACACACATTCATGTTAAATGTCATAGGATTAGTGTTTTATCTTTCTATATTTAGATTAATTCCATGGAAAATAATAAATATATTATTCCAGCAAAAGTTGTCAAAGGCCTTTTCTAGGTCTGTAAGAAGCTATACAATATTTGTTCTTTTTCTTGATATGCTGATCATTAGGATAACTTCACTTTTTCTTCTTTGTTTCATAATACCACAATAAACTAACAGTTGAAATAATTCTTCAAATTTTCTAAAGCTGCTGAATAAACTAATATGTTTGTGTTTTTGAATTTATGATCTCCCTGCATTTGTTTGAGTTATCCATTATATTACCAGTATTATATAGTATATATTTTATTTTAAACAATCTACACTATTCCTCATCCAGATGCATTCCAAAGGATGTAGTTAAAATATAAATACTGTAACTTTTGTACAAGCTGCAAAAGAAAGAAGCTTTTAAAAACTGCAATATCAAAAACCACAGCTTAACCTGTATTTAAAAATGAAATAAATATAGCACTTGATAGCAGCTGACATCAAATTTTCTGAAGGGAGAAACTTTAAATTGGGGTATTACTCCAATAAAAATCTTCCCCATTTTTGGGGGCAGAACTGATTTGACAATAATACTTGGTCCATTGACTAAAGGACAGAACTGGGCACAATTAAGTTCACCAATGAAAACAATAGCTGTTAAATCCTGTCTTTAGTAACTTTGCATTGCTAGTGTCCATCCATGATTGTGGCTTCATCTTCTCTGCATTTCAGTCTAAGAAGATCATAGGTCATTTTCAAATTGCTTTGAATTGAATGGGTAGTACAAACGATGGTTGTATGGAAATCACTTTGGAAAGGTCTCTGGGTGGTATCCATCTGATTTACTTACTTATTTGTAACAGCCTTACAAAGTTATGGCTCTAAAATGAGACACTGAGCATTTCATTTTGCAAACTGTTCCCTTTTTAAATTGTAGCATTAAAATATATACCTATATCTGGAAAATGATTTTGCCTGATAATTAAAAACTGAGGGGATAAGGAAAAATTAGATGCTGAAAGTGACATGGGAGGCTATGCCAAGTGTCAGATCTTGTTCTTTTTGTTTCCAACTGTTGCTAGAGAACTGAACAGTTAATTTGCTGCCTATTTCTTTCTGTCTTTTTAAAATTTAGTCTCTAACCCAACAGACCTAGAAGTGGGAAAATCCAGTTGCTTGAGGGCCAAACATGAGCTACGTTACCTGAAGGTAATAATTTATTGCATTTCTCAAGACTACAGATTCTTTGTCCAAGGTTTTTGATGAATGTGTATGAGAATAAACACATTTGCAAAAATCAGGATTGCTTCATTAATTATTTGTGAGGCTTTTTTAAAGGGGGGGAGCTCTATTCACAATGAATATTATTTGCAATGCATAATTCAGCCAGTTCTAATTATTTAACACCTGTAGAAAAGATAGAGGCAAATAGATACTCAAATATAGAAGTTGCCTCTTTTCTGCCTAACTATGAGAAATCCACAAAGTCAAAGAGGGGGCAAGGCTCTCCCTTAAAATTAACTGACAGCTAGTTTGTCTGCTGGGGATATGATTTCATTAGTGGTAGTCTTTGACTTCTGGTCGCTCATTCAGTGCCCTTTCAAAATTATGATGGCAGTAAAAGAAGAGAGTTATGTCCCATGCCCGAAATGATAGTTGTTGGAATATCCCTGTGGTCACATGATTAAAATTAGGATGATTGACAGGCTGCTTAAACTCATGCCTCCTTAATTTCAGCCCTAGCACACCTGCAGAGAAATGCTGTCTTGTGCCGTTATCCAAGGAAGGTAAAGCTTGGAGAACAACACAATTGTTCTGGCTGCCCAATGCTCTTCAGGATCTGCTGTGTGCTGCTCACGTTTTGCTGTTTTTCTCTTGCTGTTGAGAGGCTCATCTGGCCTCTCTAAATCAACTCCTGTTTGTGCCAGGCTTTCTCTCCCAAAGCATCATTTTCCAAGCTTCGCATGAATGGGGAAAAAGACTTCCAGAGCACTGTGAGAATGCAGCCAGTTCTTGCAGTGCTAGGACTGCTGAAGGACTTCTTCTTCTGAAGAGCTATCTTGAAGCTGTACTATGAGATATTATCTTGTGGAGAATCAAGGAGATCCACTAAAAGGGAAATTGGCAAGAAGTAGGCAAAAAAACAATCTTGAAGTTCTGAAATACTGGCATTCAGCAGAGATTCAGGCCAGCTCCTCTCTGATTCATTGGGGTAAAAGAAGGAGAGGAACTAAACCATAATTGGATTATTATAGGTTTCTGCAGTGTTTCCAAATTGCAATGGGAACAGTAACTTTAAGAAGTTTGAACTTCATACTGGCTGTGGAATTCTGAGAGTTGAAGTCCAGATATCTTAAAATTGCCAAGATTGAGAAACAATGGCTTATTGCAATAAAATACAGGTAGTTCTCGTCTTACAGCAGTTCATTTAGTGATCATTCAAAGTTACCATGGCACTGAAAAATGTGACTTACAATCCTTTTTCATAGTTATGAGTTTCCCCATGATCATGTGATCAAAATGCAGATGCTTGGCAACTGGTTCATATTTATGACTTTTTCTGTGTCCCAGGGTCATGTGATTACCCTTTGTGACTTTCTGACAAGCAAAGCCAATGAGGAAGCCAGATTCACTTAACAAACAGGTTACTAACTTATCAACTGCAGTGATTCACTTAACAATTGTGGCAAGAGAAGTCATAAAATTGGGCAAACTCAACTAATGTCTCACTTAACAGCAGAAATTTTGGTCTTAATTGTGATCATAAATCAAAGACTACCTGTATATTGTAACTTTAATCTTCTGTGAGTCTGCTTCTTAATTTAGTAGTCTAACCCAAATTTGACATATCCGGGTAACTGAAGTATTATATTCCTTTCATCCCAAGAAAAACAAGCACCATTCCCCCCCCCCCCCAAATTTCTCATCATGCATCTGGATGATGAGAGGATAGAATTTTCACTTGCAGTTTTCCCAAATCAATTTGTTCAACAAAGATTATTGCAATCAGCCTTTCTAATTTTGCCCTTCCACTTTGCCCTTTTCTCCAATTGTATTCAGTTACTAAAGTGGAAATTGTATTGTTTACAAGAAAACATTAATATAATTTTCTCTTCTTCTTTGAATTCACTAAAAGCTCTGAGATTTTTCTTGTACTATGTTGTGAAATCTATTTTATATCTGGATCAATTCTGCTAATTAATTTATTATTATTATTTTCCTGTTTACAGTAAAATGTTTGAAAGCATTTTTGGTGCTAGCTTGTTTATAATGTCTTATAAGCCATTTTGTAAGAGGTTTCTTAGACTGACCCACAAGAAGAAATGAAAACATCAAACTAAGTAGCTATATAGATAATACATAAGACCCTTGTGAAGCTGGAATATTTTGAACAAAATATTTAGAGTCCATTAGATCTGTTTCTGAACATTTATTAAACAAATATATATAACCACCTGTTTTACCTGAATTGACTCTATTTTCATTTCTTCTTGTATAACAATAAAATAAAAACAATTAAAAACAGTCATTATAAAAATATAAATCATTATTATGAACAAATTATAGAATATTATTATTAATAGTTTATTATAGTGAAATTTTTATTATATTGTATTGTTTATCAATTAGGATTTTAATTTGTTTATATGATCAAGTTTATTTGCAAATTGTTTATTCTGTGTTAAAGGGGAGTTAAAGCGCATTATATTTGTTTATCTGTATAGTTGGTTAATGTTAGTTAAATTATGATTATTATATTTGTTACCCTGTATTCAGCTCTGGGAAGTGGGGGAGGGGGAGGGGAGGGGGGTAGGGTGGGTGGGTTTTGGGGTATATTTTGTAATTTTTGTAAAACTTTTTAATAAAAAATATATATAAATCATTAAAAATTAAAATAAATTAAAAAGTAAGATATACAAGCCATAGGCAGGAAAGAGTAAATGTATCAATAGTGGAGTCATCTTAAAATGTTATTGGTTCCTTGAGAACTCAAAACTGATGAAATAATCAGGTTTTGAAGGACTTTGGGAACATTGGAAGGGTTGGACTTTGAGGGCAAAATGTTGTCGAGCTAAAGGACCTGGATTACTTTACTCCAGGATAAGAGATATCCTTCTGGAATAGAAATTTCACTCAAAGTGTAACTAGTATCCTTTTCATTTATTTATACATTTAAATACAAAATTGAGAAAAAATAACAATGGCGAAAAGGAACACTAAAAAAAGGACTATAATGTATAAAGAAATAGCTTCCATAAAAGATCCTCACTCATGTTGTTTCACTAATATAGAAATTGTAGAATCTCTGCTTTACCCAGTAATACGATTTGCAAATGAGTGGCAGAATCTGGGGGAGGGGGTGGGACTAAAAGAGAGATCAGTCTAGGATACCTATGTAGCCATAAGCAGACTAAATCTAACCTTGCTTCAATTTTGTGGACCCTTACATAACCTCAAGCAGATATTAACCAATATTTGAGAATATTTGGTATTAACCAATACTGAGAAGGAATGATTAGCAATAAATCAGTTTAATTGAACTCATGTGCAGTTCTGATATTTCTTGCCTGATAGCAGAGGGCAGAGTTCTTTTTCCTTCTTGTTTTTTTCCTTTCTCTTTTAATTCAAATGAGTTCATCTTTTTCTGGAAGGTGAGTCTTGAATTATGATTGAAAAGAACAGTTTCTCAAAGGCTATTTGAGTTTAGGCTCCAGGTAGCACAATATCATGGACTTGGTGCGTCTTGTTCTTCCAAACCTCACGAGCAAGCCATGACAGAAAAATGATGAAAAATATCTGTTACCCCAATACCATGATTTAAAATTTACATGGTTTCTATTTAGGCCAATTTCTACATGCCATAATAAAGTTATCAGAGATCCCCATTATAATGCCTGATCAAAGAACTTCTTGTAAACATGAATTTGACCTGACACATACTGATATCCAAAGGATGATTGTGAATGATAACTCTCTTCTCATTTCTTCAAAGTGTTTTATATATAAATTAAAGCATTAATTTATCCCATTTTTGTTTACATTTTAAAATTTTTTTTAAAATCCATCTCTCTGTTATTGTTGTTAGGTGGTATTCAGGTTAAATTGCTCAGGAGTGACAACACTAAAATTATTTAAATAATTAATTTATATTTTATTAAACTTTCATTTATTTCATTTGTTGTTGACTATGATCACTGAGAATTGTAAAAGCTGATAAATTTGGAGTACAAATATAGCATATTAATAAATATATTATTTTGTGTGCTCTTTGTGTGCTTGTAACATTCCAGAATATTTTGGAATTCTGGATATATGAAATTGGAATGGTTTTCTTGGTGACATATCAACCATGATTTTGGTCTTGTAAATTGTTGTCTAATAGTGTTTCTGGAGGTTCTGAGAGATTGTCATATGCTGAATCAGACCAAAATCTTACTTGACTTAGAATTCTGTTTTGATTGAAATTAACCAGATGTAAGCAGGATATGAGTGCAAGGCCAGCGTGTTCATTAGAAATAGATTTCTAGACATAATAGTTGTACTACTGGAAAATTATGAGCAAATAGCCCAATTAACAGACACTCAACCATAATCCTTGCCATGTTATCATTTCTGTTTTAAGCACATAAAATTCACTTTCAAATATTTCTCTTAAAATAGACGTTCCTAAATATATATTTCAGATGCTGAGAATTATCTGGGCAAGCATCATGTGGGGTAGCAGGCAAATGTCACATGTTCCGACTAATGAAGCACTTCAAAGAACTTTCAGGCATGTTTCCTAAAGTCTTTATTACAGAGCTACAATTTTGCCGATCGCCATCATGGACATGTTGATGCCAGAATCTGACTTCCTGTCGCTGGCATCAACCTTTTCTTGCTAAACCCCTCCTTTGTCTTGCAGTCACAAGTCACATTATCCAGTTAGTGTGAAGGTCAAAAGTTTACTTCCTCTTTCTTTCCCGGGCTTTTTCTCCCCTCCACTCTAAGCTATGTATTAACCCAGTAATTACCAGACAGTTTTGCATATTGTCAAAGCAAGAATATACAGTATTTGCAGCATTGACAGCAAATCTGTGATACCTAGAAGCCATTTCTTGAAATGATTACATCTGTGTGGGAAGGTGTATTCTTTTTACCAATTGCACAACTTTAGAAGTAGAGAACGTGAATCTCCAGTGTGAACTAGCATGTTTCCAGGAAAATGA